CGCTCGCTCGCTCACTCGCTCGCACAAACAGCCGCACAGACAGAACCCGATGCAAAATCCGATAAAATGCGCCTCCGACGAGCGATCGCAAGATACGCGCCAAACGTGCGCGCAGATAGACACCGAGACGGCCTCGCAGTCAGACAGACCGACGACGGGGGGGGGGGGGGGGCAGACGGACGCGCGGGTAGGGAGATCCACCGATAAGACGCAGGGGGCGGCGGCGATAACCGCGGACTAAAATGCGCGCGGCGCGCGGGGGCTTACGCAAAGCGGTTGACAGATAAGCGTTTGCTGCAAAGGGAAGAAAACGACAAGAATTATGCGCAGGAAGTGTACAAAAGTGCTCCTCAAGCAGACTTCTAAAAACGACTGTGCGGGAGGGTTCACTCTTGGGGGGCCACGCTGGCCTACGACACCAGCGGAGGGTTCACCTTTGGGGGGCCACGCTGGCCTATGGCCACCAAAGTTCACTCTTGGGGGGCCACGCTGGACTACGGTCACCAAAGTTCACTGTTGGGGGGCTACACTGGTCTACGACGCCACTGGAGATGAAGGATCCGGTTGGAACACTCGCATCGGAACACTCCGATCAAGGCCGTTCATTGATCAACTTTAATTCCCAAAAAAATAACCATTCCCTGTTTACGCCGAGCCCCTTGTGCGCAAAGTAACGATCTCCAACTGAAAGTCAATCTCTCTGCCTGCTCTCCACTCTGATGATGAGTCGTTGCCTTAAACATCAGCCTATATAAATAGAAAATATCTCCGTTGTTAGGCAGTCTTAATAACGAACGTGGCGAAGTGGTTGTTGTTTTGTTTCCCGTGCATCACTCACCAACAGCATCCACCTCACATTGTGCTGTTGCTGTTGTTGTTGACTCTTCAACGTAGTAAAAAAAGTTTGTTCCTTTAAACTTCATTTGGAATTGTCGAGCCCGGGCCCGAAGTGATCTTGGGAACGGGCAGGATGTTTGCGCTCTGGCGAAACGTGCATACCAAACACACGAGACCTACACATGCACCCAAATGTCACCCATATCCTAATCAGTTGACAAGGGCCTGGCTACATTAATTATTTATATTCATACATACTTTTTTGGGGCAGTCACGAGACTCGGGCCGGTGCAATGAAAACTCAGCCCCCGCGTGCTTCCCCGCGGAATGGCAAGGAGAGGGCGAGAAATAAATTGGCGGAAATAAAAACCACCACGACCACCGCCGCCACCCACTGGCACCACCGCCCTTCATTGTACACAACAAGGTGTGAACTCAGCCACAGCTGCTCCTGCCAATTTGCCCGTCAGCTGTGAAGCTGTTAACGCGGCTGCACGCTCCGATGCGCGACACAAGACCCCGGCCGTAATGAAGAATGTCGACGTTGAGAAATAATATTTGAACACGCAGATGCGACTTCCACAACGCCGCCAAAGAATCAACACACCTCGATGGGCGCACTTGTGTACGCGTATCTACACTGCAGATCTTCCAAACAGCTTTGAGGAACAGGATATTAACAGCGGGGAGCGGATTCGAGCGTTATTGCCTTCTGCTGCACGGTCATTGCGTGCAAACGTGGGACTCGAGAAATTAAAGCCGCATCCTGCGATCTCGCCGACCATCGCTCGCAAATGGACTGATCCAGTAGCAGGCTTTGAACAGCCGACGGCTTTAATGTCACTCACGCTCATTCTAAAAGTACCCCAAAAAAAATGAATTGGTGCAGATCTGATGTCAAATTTGGATGCATTGTATTCGGCACGCCCGTCACAACCGCCCAGATGCAGACTATTGTCGAGCGAGGATAAAAGGGGAGTGGGGGGGGAATACATCAGACGTCAGTTTTTGGATTTGAAAAACCGATGGCGATGTAAAATCAGCAGCACTACGTCTAGGTCACCACCTTTCATCGGTCTCTGTACAATAAAGTAAAGTCCAAAAATATCAGCATCTCAATTTTCACATTGGTTTTTTAGCTTTCTTCCTACAAATTAAGCACGAAATATCACATCTGGCATCAACACCAGCAACAGTTTAAGATGCCCGACTTTGCTGACGAGACTAAGAAATTTTTATTTAAAGCTTTCGTGACTGCAGGGATTCATATTTTTGGTTCTTTCGGTAAAGTCACGTAGGAGGGAAATAATTAAATAATATAAATATAAAACAATACAAATTCTCACGACGTTTCGACTGCAACACAAGCTATCATCATCAGATGTGAAAAATCCACAGCAAGAAAATTTGAAAAAAGTGGATTCACACCTGATGATGATTGCTTGTGTTGCAGTCGAAACGTCGTGAGAATTTTAATTGTTTTATATTTATATTATTTTATTATTTCCTTCTACGTTACTTTACCGAAAGAACCAAGAATGAGACTAAGAAAGTTGAGACTGATCTAGAAACATTAGTCCAAGAGGTCAATTTCCTTGACAGATAAAATAAAAATAATTGCAGGGAGTTTGACTACGGCATGCGCATTTAACAATTCATTTGTTACCCACAATGCCCGGCGACTATTTTTTTTTTTTTACGCCGCATTTCAGGAGCATTTTGAGAAACGTCCGTGACCTAATGACGTTACGGCGAAACTCAACACGGAGTTACGAAACAAAGCAGAACAACCGACGCAAGAAAACAAAACGACCCGGCCTAGAGAATGCGAGGAACTTGGGAGGAACCGGCTATCAGCACGCGGTATATTACAAGGCCTGAGTCAACACGCGGCTCAGTCACAGGCGACAACACGGCAAGCATGTATGACTATCGCACCAATGTCAGCGTTTTGTCGTTGAGGAAGGGAAAAAAGGAACGGGATGGTATATATATACGTATACCTACACGTGCACAATGCACTGCTGTCTACGTTTGTGAGCATAGTTTACAGTACTCTTTCATATTCTTAGGTTTTTTCGGTAAAGTCACGTAGGTAAAAAAATAAAATTAATAAAAGTAAAATAAAAAATACTTGATACAGCAATTGTGCTGTGACGGTTCCACCTGAAGACGGAAGCTTGTGTTGCCTCCGAAACGTCGTGATATTTATTTTATTTTTATTTTACTTTTATTAATTTAATTTTTTTACCTACGTGACTTTACCGAAAAAACCTAAGAATATGAATCCTTGCAGTCACGAAAGCTTCAAATCTAGTACTCTTTGAACCCACTTGTGAATGAGGGCCTGCCCACCCCGTGTGGATCGTGGGTGTTACTTGACCATACTTCACCATGCTGGTCAGTGCGGGTTGGCCAAGTGAGTGCGGTGAGGTCCCAGGACCAGTTTCAGATATCGCTCGCTCGCCACTGATATTAGCCGCGGTCCAGGAATCTAACGCACGACCCCAGATCAGCAGCGCGCTGTCTCTGTCCGCCCGCCAGTACAAGTCGATCGGCAGGTCATGTGCGGTGGGGTAAAGCGTGGGGACTCCGACATCTACCGGCGCGCAAGAGCGGGCCGCCTAACACCCTCCTCTCTAGAGCTGCACTTAGCGGAGAGGCCTTACCGCCGATAGCTGCGCGAGCACGACATTTGAGGGTTGCACCTTAACCTTTTAAGCCTTTATTTGGCTCTCGTATGGGACGGGGGGGGAACCTTCCCCCACCCGTGCTGCAGCACCTCTGTGCGCACAGCGTGAGCGGAGGCGCTCACGACGGCAGCGAGCGAATAGGGGCCGTCAAAAATCTCCGCACAACCACTACCGCCGCCACCGCCGCCACCACCACCTTCACCTTTGTCTCGCCACCCCCAGAGCCGCACCGCAGAAGCAGGTGGCCGACAGAACAAAGGTGGCAAGCGCCCAGGTGACATCGCCGCCAGAGAACGTGCTAATGACGGACGGACGACGAACGAATGGGCCACAAACCGCGTGATCAACCATCGCCTGCCACCGGCGGCGGCAGCAGCTCAGGCTGCAGCTACCTGTCGTTGCGACAGCAACAGGCAGGCAGCTCTTAATGTGTTTGTTGTCCTTCCCCCGCACCTCCGATGGCTACGTACTGTGCGAAAGAAGTTCAACAAACATATACACGTGCACGAGAGGATAATACTCAAAGCGCAACACAGGCTCACACATTCATTACTCTGCTGCAACCTCGCAGCTCCAAGCCTGTAACACCTGGTGTTCCAAGGCAGCCTCCCCGTCCAAGTATTTACAAGGGACTAACCCTGTGAGCTGATGAGATCGGTACCGGAAAATCATCCTTAAATGTCACCACAGTCAATGTGGATCCTCACTTGACTTTGGAAGAGTGAAAATGAAAGTGCTACTGCCCTCTACTCTGTGGACCAGAGGTCACTTAAAGGGAACTCGAGAGGTAGCTCTGTGATATCCACTTCCATTCCCTAAGATGAAGGAAGGGTTGCAGCAATGCCATGCCAGAGATCCGATTGGACTCTAAAATACAACTGAGATGCTCAGAAAAAGATAATAATATCGTGAGAATGAATCACAATTCCACCACGGATCCACCTCGAATCCACCACGGATCCACCACGGATCCACAACGGATCCACGACGGATCCACGACGGATCCACGACGGATCCACGATGGATTCACGACGGATCCACCTCGAATCCACCACGGATCCACCACGGATCCACCACGGATCCACAACGGATTCACCACAAATCCACCTCGGATCCACCACAAATCCACCACGGATCCACCACAAATCCACCACGGATCCACGACGGATCCACGACGGATCCACGACGGATTCACCACAAATCCACCACGGATCCACCACAAATCCACGACGGATCCACGACGGATCCACGACGGATCCACGACGGATTCACCACAAATCCACCACGAATCCACCACAAATCCACCTCGGATCCACCTCGGATCCACCACAAATCCACCTCGGATCCACCACAAATCCACCTCGGATCCACCACAAATCCACCTCGTATCCACCACAAATCCACCTCGGATCCACCACAAATCCACCTCGGATCCACCACAAATCTACCACGGATCCACCTCGTTCTCACCTGCGTGGTAGACGGCAGGTGCGGTGCCCAGCGAGAGCACGCGGTGGAGGTGCGTGGGCAGCGAGGAGGGAGAGAGCCGCGAGCCCACGGGGCGCCTCCCCGCCGGGCGGGGGTCGTGCCGCGCGGCAGCCAACAGGAAGGGGGGCGGCGGAGTCGGCGAGAGGGTGAGGAGCCCCCCGCCGCCGGCGTAGCCCCCCGCGACGCTGAGCAGGTAGCGGGGGACGCCGACGAGAGGCGACGGGCCCTGCGAGCCGCCAAACGGCCTGCGAGGCACAGCACGCACACGGAGAGGGGCGACACGTACAGCAACAACGGAGGACAGGGGGTGTGTATATATATATATATATACACACAATTAACAAAGGCAAAGACACACCGTGTAGCATTCGCAAACTCCTTTTTGGTTCTTTCGGTAAAGTCACGTAGAAGGGGAATAATAAAATAATAAAAATAAAACATTATAAAAGAATTCTCACGACGTTTCGGCCACAACGCAAGCAGCCGTCCTCAGGTGAAGAACAGGTCTGTCGGAAAGACAGCCTCTGAAACTTAAAGGGATCCACCACAAATCCACCTCGGATCATTCAGACGCTGTCTTTCCGACAGACTTGTTCTTCACCTGAGGACGGCTGCTTGCGTTGTGGCCGAAACGTCGTGAGAATTATTTTATTATGTTTAATTTGTATTATTTCCCTTCTACGTGACTTTATCGAAAGAACCAAGAAGATGAATCCCTGCAGTCACGAAAGCTTTAAATCGAAATTCATTCGCAAACTGTTGGGGCAAGTGGTGTTCGGGAGCACCTATGCAGGCCGGCAAGGCACGGCCCAACCAGGTGGTTGGTGGCCATCACCACGGCCTAGGGGAGGCCTCTCGTAGATGGGTCAAGAACTGCTTCAGATATGTGTCACTGGTGTTGCCCGTGAGCGGGGAATCAAACTCGGGTCTGCAGGGTCGTCGTGCAGCGTGCTAACCACTGCACCGCCGCTCCCCTTATATACACACACACGTATGCTTAAAGGTTCAGACCTGCAATTGCTTGCTCACGCCACTCTCCTCTCATCATCCCCATCAATTTGACCCAGTCATTCCCTCTGCCGTTCCCTTCCCTTACTGCCTGGCCACTCCACCTTTGTTCTTGCTGCTCATCTTGAGCTGTGCCCTCCTGTTTGTCCACATTGGGAACTTCCGTCCCAGCATCACTTCCCGCTCAACCACGGGTTCAAGTTTTACGCGCTCTCAAATATTAGTAGCAATAGATAAATATGAAGCGCCAAAATAAAATCTAAGCTGCAATGAGCTAAATGATCCGCAGTTGTGAGTTCCGAAATCGTGAAAAAAAATTCTGATGACCTTTAGCTACGACCGACACCGACTGTGTGAAATTACTAAGGACTCACAACAGAATACGAAGGACTAACGATAGGAGTGAGAAAGGTTTTATTATAAAATCCCAAATATAAAAAAACAGACTTCTGAGCACAAGTTATGTCTCAATTGCAATGCAAACAAGAGTGGGTTAGAGATGAGACAAGAATATCATCTCACGAGTTCCATACGAATGATTCAATGGTGGAAAAAAATAAAACAAGAAAACTTGACAGCCGCATACTTTAGAAAGCTAAGCTATTGTGGGCATCATATGAATAATGGTTAACATCGTGACATCTCTCCCTGCACATAATGACTATCATAAAAATATTTGTTACATCCAATCAGCTGCCAGGGCCTACCATGAGAGAATGATTTCAGCAGCATAGCTTCAGTCCAAGCAGACTTGTACGACCAGTTTAGAAAATTCAGTAGGCTTGCCGAAACCAATGTTGGTTAAATGCCCGATGTTTATCGGCAAGGCTCATCCCGATTAGATTTGGGTAAGAACGCAACTCCAAAAAAACCGTACGGTACATATCAAACAGTAATCAGTGTCGTTGTGGAGAAGTAGCACAATAAATAAACAGACAATCCGCTTTCTCGCCATATCTGTCCCTCTGCCTTGGCAATGGTACGAGTCGGGGTAGCAGTAGCGGATCGATGAGAAGGGCCGTGGGGTGAGGAGAGGTGCGCAGACAGGAGAGGAAGGATGTTAACCCTTTCCCGTACGTCATCAGATTGTCTTCCGATTCTGTTCCGATGGTGTACGCGTACACATGCGTGTCACCGAAACCGAATCGGAAGTAAAAGGGCATGCGGGAGGGCGTGTGGCACAGTTTGGCGCCAGCTGCCATAGAGTGCGGTCGTGTCACTGCAGTTTTCTCTAAAAACAGCAGCGGCATGCTCCAAATAAAAATAACGCTGAACCGCTTGCGAATTCTGAGATTCAGTGGTGAACATAATCCACTCTACAACTTTCAGATGTCTCGGAATGGGAAAGGGTGAACATCTCGCTACAGTGGCGAGATGTTAACTACCTCGCCTGGTATACAGGTGGTCGTGGCTTCAATCCCGACTCTGACACCTGTATATTTGGAGTTTGCATGTTCTCCCCGTGGTCGTGTAGATTTTTCTCTGGGTCCTCCGGTTTTTCTCTCCACATTTAGAATCAACGTGCGCTTCCAGTATTTAGCTGCTATAATTTTCCGCGTGATAAGCCACTTCCTTGAGCTATCATCTGTGGCCAGGTCACTTCTGAGAAAGATCTGTATAGCTCAGTGGGCCTTACCTGGTAAAATAAAAAAAAGAGTGTATAGTTCTTTATGGGAAGATGGCGTTTAAGTAAAAGGCACGTATGAATGCATTAGCAGCAGCATCAGCAACAGGAAGCGTATACGAGTCTGGAGGAAAGTAGAAGGTGCCAAGTGTGGATGCCACGAGGTCCCACAGGGGTATACGACACGCTCGGTGAGTAAGGGCCGTGAACACGGCTTGGCTCAGGCTTGAGTCGCTCGGTTGTTGTCAAAGACTGAGTGAGTGAGCGGCTCAGCCGTGGCTCGGGCTCAGGCTCGCTGCTCAGCCTCATGGAAACCCAGAGCACGGCTGGGACCTTGCCCGGAGCCGGCTGAAGTTACGGGCGTGGGCTTTGAGCCGGCTCACTTGAGCCGAGCAGTGGTTGAAGATGCAGCCCTAAGCGCCTGCTGAGACACGTAGCCAAGCGTGCTAATCGGAGGTGCAGAGGAAAGACAACAAACTAAATACAAAAAGGAGTTCTCAAGAAATAAGTTTTCAATCTAGATTATTTAAATGTGCATAGCTCCAACGGCTTCCTAATATCAGAAGGGAGAGCGTTCCAGACGGCCGCAGAAGCGCATCTGAAAGCACGCGATGCAGTGACCGTCTTTGTTCGACGGCTCGCCAAAAGCCGCAACCAAGGGAAACCTGGATTTGAAGAGGTACAGAAAGAACACAGCAGGCAACTGCACTACACGTTCCACATTAAACATACAAACTGCAAACTACAATTTACACGTCACTGCTGTCACTGCTGAGGCCACCATTGGAAATGCCCAGTTACCACTTATTTCATATCGATACTGAAATGATCGTTGTGATGTCGATACTAATATGCGCTGAGATTACCAATTTGAAAGGTGTTTTATAAAACCGAGTTCATTACCATTACGAATGATGATAACATTTATTCATTAAATTACTTCTCAATTCAAATTCTCATCATCATTCGTGAAACTATTATCGAAGGAGGGGAGCGGTGGCGCATCGGCCCGTGCGCCCTGCGCTATGAACCGTCGTGGCCACGGCAGACATCTGCGGTAACTTTTCTCTTCGCGTCTACCATTTGACCGAGTCTCTCCTCAAATAATGTAACGGTGGTGACGACGACGACGACGAGGCGATGGTGGTCGCCGTAGTGACGACGACGCTCGCGCTGTACGCGCATACAGTTTCTAGCACGTTCCTCCACCTCTGGCGGCATCCCAGCGGCATGCGCAGCGCGCGTCTGGAGGGTGCAGTGCACCCGATAAGCCTTTCAGACGCGACAACAAATCCCAAGTTGTCCCGCGTCTGTCGTATCAATGCACGCGCGACGCACCGGCTACACAATCCACCCGCCGAGGTTTGCGACTCGCCTCGCGCGGAGCCGGAGCATATTAGGTTTCAAACTTTGACGAATTAAAGCGTTTCACAATCAAGGTCGGACAAAAAGGGCCCCCCACCACCCGCCCGCCCGCAACCCCTCACGCCCCCCCCGCACCCACCTTGACGCCACGCTCACCGCGGCGGCGAGCGGTGGAACCCGTTCTCACCCTCGGCTATCGCTCGCGAATCTCGCCGCCCAAAAATCCACTCCACCGCCCGCCCGCCCACGCAACGCAACACAACGCAATGCACAACCACCCCCCCCCCACTACCTGCATCCCATGCTTAATACCACGACGATCTGTGTGTGTGTGTGCCGAGACAGGGCGGGGGAAGAGAAAGAGAGAGAAAAAACAGAGAATCTTTCAGGCGGAGGGAGAGGAACCAAAAAAAGAAGATGCTTGGCTTAAGTCGCAGGTCCTGTTGCGCAGGTTAATGACCGATGGTGCAATTTAGTGTTTTTTCGCTTTATTTAGCGGCGGAGAATCGGGTTCGTGAGCTGCCCCATGAACCTGGCGACCCGAATTGTATTCCCGGCCAACAGCGAAGATCGGTGGCGCGAGTGATGTGGGTTACTGGTCCCCCCTTGCCCTCCGTTCACAGCAAGCTGCGCTGACCGGTGTGGTGAAGTATGGTAACAACAACAAAATAACCCCACGATCGGCGTAGCATGGGGAGAGGAGGCCTTCGTCTATCCGTGGCTTGAGAATGGCAGGAATTTATTTTATGAAGTTGCCTTGGTGTGTGTGGTTTTAATTCTTGAAGAAAAGGCACGGAAATAACGTACAACCGAGGTTTTAAAGAATCGGCCTTACAGAGAGAGACATTTGTAAATAAGTGCGAACTTGCGTGTGTGTAGTTTGTTGCATGTAAGAGTTTTTTGTCATTTTTTTAATCCCCCCTCAAGATATTATGCCTTGCAGTAACGATTTAGGAGCTAATCCTCACCTTGACAGCTCGTTACTGTAACAAGCTTTCCCGACACCTGCCCCTAGCCCACGCGAGTGTTTAAGGGCTTCCCGCAAGAGTAAATACATCACGCCACCAAATAGTTTCACAAGCGCCGTCGATGCCACGTGTTTGACGTGAGCAGCTGGTGAAGAGGACTATGCTTCGTGTGGGTCCTAGCGCTGAAAACGTTGGTATTGTTAAAATAAAAAACCACCACGGGTTCTCGAGTGCCGTTTCGAGTGGTGGCCCCTTCCGCCAGCAGTGGCGTGAGCAGGGA